GTAGTACATGTATATTTAATATCAAAGCAATAAGACTTGCCGTTTTTTACAAGAAGTCGAAAATATCATTTTTTACCAAAAATATTCATCAAAATTAGAGAATTGAAGATATCATCATGAAATGAAGAAATCTGAGAGAGGTCCACATGTAGTACCTATATATGTAATATCAAAGCAATCAGACTTAACGTTTTTCACAAGAAGTCGAAAATATCACTTTTTACCAAAAATGACAAAGATATTCATCATAATTGGAGAATTAAAGATATCACGAAATGAACAAATCTGAGAGAGGTCCACATGTAGTACCTATATATTTAATATCAAAGCATTCAGACTTGCCATTTTTTACAAGAAGTCGAAAATATCACTTTTTATCAAAAATATTCATCAAAATTAGAGAATTAAAGATATCATCATGAAATGAACAAACCTAAGAGAGGCCTACCCAAGGTACATATACACCAAGTATCAAAGCATTCAGGCTTGTTGTTTTCAAGAAGAAGTCTAAAAAGTAAAACATTGACACGGACGACGACGGACAATTACTCGTATGATAAACATGCTGATGCTGAGTGATCCTGATTAGTATGCCTGATTACGTCATGAGTGATCCGCTGTAGACAGCAATTATTTTTTTGGCATCATTTACACATAATTAAACACAAATGTCTGTATCAATGTCATAGTGAAACAGTCTGTAGTGCAAATTATTTTTTGTAATGACACACTGGCATTAATAAAAAAACAAAACATGTGTATATGGTCTTTACTGCTCAGATGTAAAAGAGCACATTAAAAACAAATTATATAATTTTTCTGAAGGCTTATGTCAGGTGACTGGGTTGCAATATAATCCTTGAGTATTACGGTAGTTCCCTCTAGGAATTTGTGTATATTGATCTCCCATAGACAAAATTTGCACACATAGGGCAATATGTTATCATAATTGTAGCATAAATCATGGATGTAATATTCAGTTACATATATCCAATGTAGTAACTTTTTTAAGTCAAAAATCAATTTAACCGGAACTTGATAGAAGCTGTTTACAACGGTGGGATTTGAAAGGAAATTAGCTCCATTGCTCAGCTGTGGCAATTTTACATATATTTGTTTTTAAATCGTGATCCGACACAAAATTACCACTGTACATGTGCATTTAAATGATATACTCACAAGATTGGATGTCAAATGGTGAAATTCACCACTAAACATTCACCATTTTGATGTTGAAGATATGGATATGTTATCATGTTTTGTGTTGTTGATTTTAAATTTATCATTATAACCATATTATTTAGAATAAAATCTACTTCTACTGATAACAGTTTCTAATTTCAGATGAGGCCCTTACCTGAGTTTCTGTGCTTGCTTGTAATAATACAGACAGTAGAAAGGCATTTTCAGAATTTCATATGTTTGCCCGAGACCATACCACGCACGATAATCACGACGATTGACCTCTGAAAAAAATAGTGATTTAATTTTTTTTAATTCCACACTGAGGTAAATCTTTGTTTTTTCCCCCACTACTGTATTTGCTATATTACAAATGCATATAAAAGTGAACAACACCACTAATACCATATTCATTCTATTAGAAGTGCAGCTCCAATTGAAATGCACAAAAGCAAACAAGTCATTGTCAATGACACGTCCCCGTTCCGTTCATATTTGAGTAACATATACATTCAAAGCAGATCATGACCGAAATGCACCTGCATATGTACAACACATTGTGCTAAATCTGAACAAATCCATCCATGCATGACTGAGATCCGGTTCTGGAATTGTGAAAATATGTGATTTTGATGCATTTTCGGCCTTAAATGGCCATCATTCCGCTATTGTTAAGCAGATCATGAAACAAATGCACATACTATTTGTG